CGCAAGCTATCCTCGCCAGGTTCGATATATGAATTACTGTAGGAATATTATGGCCCTCTATTGCATATCCATTCCTCGAAAGCCGAGTTATTCTAGCTAGAGGATTACTATCTGTTCCACTCATCGCGATTCGCGATGTAAAACCATAGTATTTCAAGGCTTCAATTTGACTGACGTTACCGTTAAAGCTAGTGGGTCATGTCTGGAAATCAGTTCAGAATATTTTTTTGCGTTCTATTTCAGCAAGTGCAACGTAGGAGCAACGAGAAGAACGCACGAAGCGCTGTTTTTAGCAGGCATACGACAGCAGCTTAATACATTTTTTACGACTACACCACTCACCACCTCAGCCTCATCCATCTTCGTACTACGACAGACAAAAAAGACGATTTAAGACAAAAAGATAAGGTTTGCAGCAGTGAAGCGCAATTCTTGTCGAATTTCAGCGGGACTATGCAATAATTTCCCTTTTTGTTGATTAAACGGGAATAAAATGCAGCGTACATTTTTTGTCTTCAAAATTAGGGTGGATTTCCAGGCTGTTCTGCACATTTAATTATACGAAGTATACGCTGCAATACAGTCATGCCAAATTTAAATGCGACCACAAGACGCATGTGGTTCAGATTTTTGAAAAAAAAATCGATGTAAATCTTAGAATTCAAGGTGCTACAAATCATTCCAACTGCTCGAACGACTGATGGGTTTTGAAAGATGGGAAAACTTAAGAGGTCGGCATTGTAGACGAAGAGGCAGGTGTTTGCGAAGATTCATTTTTCGCTAGCGTCGCTGAAATGAAATCACATTTTTATTATCAAGTTATTTTAAGGATATCAAGCTTGGAATTCCTTTATAGGAAGCACAGTATTTTCCACGGAGCGAAGATGGCCATCACAAAGGTGTTACGGATCTCAATATATAACTGGACAACATGAACTGCAAATGCAATCTCACTAATTTTTTGTTCAAATGAAACAAACCTCAGAAAAAATAAGTCTCGATTGAAAGAGACTTGATAAAAATCAGCACCTTTCACCTCTCATATGGTTGCACGTTCAAGGTTTAGTTTTAAAAATCGTCCAAATCATGAGAATTCTTGTCAAAACTCGCCGGATCTAAGCCCGTTCTTTTCTTTTAAAACTGGACAAATTGGTCTTCCCACTGCATGAATACGTTGAACACATTCTCAATGAATCGCATCAGAGCAACGATAGGTTTAAAACGCAGAAAGCGGTATGAATCATTCAAAAACGACAAATATAAACAGTTAAGACGATTCAACTGCCTCACAAATTTCCCTTCGATGCGCATAAGCATTCATCATCGAGTAAGAATCAGTACTTGAATATTTATACAGTTTTCGTCATATCCCGAACTGACAAGAACGAAAATAACGACCATCCAGAAGCGAACGTGAGGACAAAAGAAAGCAAGGTTTCGCTGTCTGAGACGTCGGCGTTTTTTCATTCTACACTCCCACATCCAGGAACGTATGCATGACGCAAACGTCCCGACACGTATTCAAAAACACGTATCCGTGACTTCAGCCAAGTGACGTCACGAAAGAAATTCATGGCCGGAATATACAGTTTAGCTGTTCATATTTAAAGAAGCCAACCTGAAAAATAAAGAAGGGGCCTTGAATCGAAATAAATATCCAACTACTGTATTCGTTTTTTTTTCGGTTTACAATGACATCATCCGCATTCCCAAATGAGATATTGACGTCGCTGATGATGTCATTCAACAATCCTCCTGCCACCCAACAAAGCCAAAACAACGGCGTCAAGAATCGTCTTGTTTTTTTCTCTCTCAACAACATCATACGCGGGTTTTCAAAAGTGGTTCGCCCGTTTATCATAACCTTGTCTGTACATTGAATCTGGCTCCTTTCACATGAGTCATATTTTTGTTGGCAGCTATGTTCGGGTTTTCTTCGTAAAATATGCATTCAAGTCAGCCAATGAATGCAATTGTAGGGCATGATTTCTTCACATCACCACAAAGGTGATTATGCAGTTACATTTACAGCCAATAAATATTATCAGTAAAATTCGGCCTGGTGAGTACCAAAAAAAATAGACATCGAGGTAGTTATTTTGCGAGCAGAAAAAAACGTATTAAAATGCATGAGATAGATGCAGATCAAAAGAAAACATCAGCTCAACCTTGCAAGTTTCATAAAGGTTGATCCAACCTCTTATTGCGGAACAATAAAATAACAGCCAACCGTACTTTGCCAACACCATTTCCGGGTTCGGAACTAAAAAAAAATTATTTACAGTGGGTTTCAATTTCAGGAAATGATCTCTTAGATTTGGACCAAACATGTAGGCATATAAATTACACGGTCCTTGAAAAAGTGTTCGGGAAATCGTTTTCTTAGGGACTTAGGCTCATCATCGATGTCCGCTGGAATGAGAGCGCTTGGCGAATCCCTTTTTTGACGTTGATCGTATTTTCACTCAATCGCTAACGAAAACTGTGAAAAACAGGCATATTTTCTCAGTTCTAAATTTTTTTTTTCAAACAGGCTGGGTCGAAGGAGCTTGTCCTGGAGAAAAACAAATCCTAATAGCCCATTTCCAACTTGTGTATCTCCGATTCAGTTCCACTCCCCAGCTCAACATTTTTGCACTACTTGTCGGATATGTATTGTCTGCGCAATACTGAAGGCACTCGCTGAAGTTCGTGACCGGACAGTTGTACATGTCCCCCAAACAGGACGTGCCAGAACACCGCGTACCGAAAACCTAATTACAAATCATCAATATATATAATGTAAAAACGGCCGTTTGGTTCGGTTATGTTAATGTGAATCCATAAGATACGTTTAATGGCGTAAAATAATACTGCCATCACTCGAGCCCTTTCATAACTGTTAATGGTTACTTACAGGAGGTTTTCCGAGCTTGTCTTTTTCTTCACTCGCGCAGTTCTTTCCGGACTTTTCACTTATTTTTTCTTTGGTGGCGCTAAATAATCCCGAGTCGTCTTCTTGAAGTCCCAAAGCTGTCCTTCGTTCTATTTTTTGCTACTGAATAATTTCTACACGTTGATAAAATTGATACTCATTGTTCCTTTTGAAACTGTTCTAAAATCTAAAAATTCTAAAAATCTAATCTATAAATTCTAAAAAACGCATGCAGAAAAAAGAAAAGAAACTGGGCTTGATAAATTGAAAAACGTACAGAATATTACTTATTCAAAACAGTTGCCGAGACCACATCAATTGAAATAATTCCCCACGAAAAAAAGCCGGAAAATTTTGCAAAAAATGGTTAGTTCAAGTCAGTACACTAATGCTGCTGCAGATCAATATGCCTTCATAACCAGAATACATGCAGCACATTTCAGCCCACGTCAGTCACCAATGGATCTTCGTCTGGTGTCATTCTGTGCTACCGATGTTTGTTTTTTTTTTTTTCCCCAGCCCGTTTCTTTAATTCAGCGGACAAGTTCTGTATCTGGGGTGAAGGACGCGCAGTTTCGGGACAACCTCAGCTATACCGACACAGCTGAAGATACAATGCCTATTCTTGGACCAAGAAGCTAAATTTACCAGTACAGAGAAAAACGGATCTCTAGTCTGATTTCTTTCGAGACATCCATCTGTCTTTCCAGAACGCGCTCCGAGATTAAATGGGCAATTCTTCCGAGCCTTTCCAGAGGGTGATCACAAGGACCGACTTTTCGCCCTCCACGATTTTTACATTTACCACGAACAATTCATCTGCCCAAGAACTAGAACGCCTCACTAGAAACCTACATAAAGGCAATTCTCGCACAGAAGTACAGTAAACAGGAATACAGTATCGTTTCCTGTCTCAGTCAAACTTTCAAGTTCGTCCCATGCTGATGTAAACAACCCAGCCAGAAGTTCTCTGTTGTATACCACAGTATCATGGTAAAATTCAAGAGTTTGCTTAGTATAAGAAGCTCCCAAGCTAATTCACTCACTGAGACCTTTTCAGAAAGAAACTTTCATGGTGTACTCTTTCATGAATACTTCCTGTTTAACTAATTGACGAAAATAAATTGAATCATACCTTATTACCGGTATTTACTTATCACGCACATTTTTTTTCGCAAAAAATTGAGAGGGAAAATGGGGTGTGCAAGTTGAAGGTTTTTTTTTAATTCTTAGGGGCGTATGTCATACTTGAGTCAGCAGAAAATTTTTGAATGATCTTCGAACTGCTCAAAAGATACTGGGTTTCGAACTCTGTATTAGTTTTAAACGTTCGCGATAGAGCTAGGAACTATACTGTAATCTGATGCGAAATTAATTTTTCTCGGACCGAAACTAAAGAGCGTTCTATAAGTTTTACATTTACACGACCCTGCCCCTTTTATAGGCAATTAAACGTTAATTTATGTAAAGAACAAAACTAAAAGTACCGTGGCGCCGTGTGCCTTTTGCTCGAACGAAGTATGACTGTAGCCATAATCACAGATTAATTCAATAGGTTTTCAATCCTTTTTATAATTGAATTCAACGTTAATTTGAGACTGCAATACGATTTCTAGATATTGCTGTTTTCAGTTTTGGTCATTGAAATGAGGGTTTGTCTCACTATAAAAGTATGAAGGATATCTTTTCTCTAAAATCTTCTTGTGAAAATCCAGGCATGTTTCTTACTTGAGGGCTCTCGTATTTGAGAAAATACAGCATACATACCGTCTAGCTTGAATTCTATATATAGTTATAGTAGTCCTCACCCGCTTATCGTGGACCCTACTAGCTTCTCAAACTAAATAGAACATCCAGGTACGCAGAATAATAAACTGATGAAAGGGTTATTCTCGTTTTGAACATCATTCAATTTCTCTACGAGCGGCTGCGGAGCCCCAAGGAAGCGTACAGATGGGGAAAAGTGGTTTAAAAGTCAATGGAATTTTCACAGCGCCCAAGGCATAAACTCATCCCAGACCCGGAGTCACGATCCAAGAAAGATTCCTCCGAACTCATCTCTTGGGAGCGGATTTGCGGGAATCCCCTATATATAAGCGCCGAAGGAAATCCGAATCTCGGCTATTGCCGGCAGATTCTTCATTTCTGCCCGCAGGTTATTAGGTTTTAGGAGAGTTCTCACTGAGCATCGAGAAAATAATAAAACAAAGACGAATAAGGAACAGAAAAGAAGTACTCACCGCGGGCTTTGGTCGTCACTGTAGGTATTGATGACTTCACGGGTTTCAACCTGGTTCGCTGATCGGACGACGATGCGTCGTCTGAAAAAGAAAATGAACATGTGACTGAAGTGCATATAAACACTAGCCCAAATCATACTTCGTTGCTTGTTTTCCGTGTGCCCCGGCGCCATGAAAATCAAAACAAGAAATGCATTTAATTGTAAATTATTGGATATTTTCCCCGTCCCAGCACATTTACATTTTGAATATATCTTGTGAGAAATCAAAGCCATCGAGAAAAATTAATTTCGGATTAGATTACAGTATAGTTCCTCTCGCGAACGTTTAAAACTAATACAGAGTTCGAAACCTATCTGACTTTTCTTTTCTTGAAAACTCAAAGCCGATTTGAAAATGTTTCGTGCGAATGCGAGAGAAAATTTCCAATCGAGCGGTATACAGAACTTTAAGACCTATCCATCTGTGGCATTGAAGTCCACGGTAGCTATCGGCGACACACTTGTGCGAATGCGATTTTTTAAAATTACCCATTGCAGATCGAAGCGATTAATTAAAAAATGCTCTATACCAATAATCCCGAGCCAGTCGAAAAAATTAAGCGGAAACAAATTGAATCGTGAGAAGCGAATTGCTTGCATTCAGTGCTTCCTGCGGCAGATGCTCGCACTTATAGAAAATTTTAAAGGGGTGCCCTGTTATCAGCTTCGTTTGTCTAAGACCAAAAAAAAAAAACGAGAAGAGAAAGGTATGCAACGCAAAGTTCCTGCTCACGTTTTGGGAAATTGCGCAAAGCTTGAGGCGACCAGAAACTTGGCGCATGGATTTAAGTCACGAGGCGGCGCTGAATTGTTTTTAGAAGTTTTTTCCCTCTCGAGTGAAAGACTGTAGCACAGCTAGTACTCGAATATTCAGTGTGAAATAACCCAAATGCTGCTTAGTTGCGGCTTATGATCAAAAATTTAGGGTGAACCGCACCCGTGGTTTCAGATTTTTGTGGGTGAGTGTGTGGCCTATAATCAAATAAACACGGCAGCTCAGACCAAATCATGTACAAATGAAGGGAGAGCCACCGAATAATTTTAAATTAACGTCAATTAACTTCATTTCGACTTTCTTCTTCAAGGTGAAAGGTAGCTCGGATTATATTTGCTTAGAGATATTGTATCATCATTTCTAAAAATAGCCATACGTTTTGTCTACCCTGTATACGTGGGAGAAAATGTAAGAAAATCGTGAAGCTTGCCCAAAGATGCCCTTTCTTGCAGCTCAGAAATGCATGCTGATTTAACAGAGGCAACGAACCTGAACCAGGTTTGACGGGAAGTCTTCGACGCTTAGTGACAGCTGTCGAAGTTGCCTTCGGGACAACCCCAATGACGACCGGAGGTTTCGGTGGGCTCTTGGCCCGCCTGGGTCCCGGCTTACTGGTGGCATTCTCGTCGGGTTCGCACCCGACGGCTCGTCTCGGCCTGGGCAAACTCGACGCACGTTCCACAGCTTCGGACCTCACCGAAGAAGTTTTCGACGTCACGGATTCTCCAGCTGCCACACTTCAAGAAAGAAGACCACCGAATTGCAACTGTTTTGCATTTGAAAGCATTTTTTTCCCGCGTTACACACTAAAAAAAAGTCACAGTTTACTCTAATACTGCATGCATAGTGGACCAGGCTCTGGGCTTTCTTCATTGCAAAATGCTCAAATAATTCTGGAAAACTTTTCGAATCTTCTTTCTTTCTATTCCCAGTAAGTACTGTCGTCAAAATTAAAAAAAAATATATATACACGATAAAAAAATTTTTACAAAGTGAATCATGCTGTTCAATCTCTCTCTTGCCTACTTTTTAAAACAGGGGATACAAGAGCGAAAAAGGTGGGAACCAAACCTGGTACATTCGAAATCTCAGATTTTCACGTGTAATGAAATAGTTATAGTAGACCGGTTTTTTCAAGGCGTTGGGTCTCTTGTACTGTATTCACCCACCTCACTCGCGATTCTGAGAGAAGCGATCTGCTCTCTTCCTTCTAAACTAAAATAGGAGAAATGTTTAAAATCTCGCTCTTCGATTTTACTGTTTTTCAACATTCGTTACAGAAAGAGTGAAAATAACGCGTAAACAAAACCAGAAAAGCCATATTTTTGAATGACTTCACAGGACCAAGGACCAAAGAAAAGATCTTCTCGTTGACAATAACAACGTTTCACAGAAAATAAGGCACGTTTTGCGCATTTTAAAGCAATTCTTCATCAAGATTGGGTTAAGGCTTTTTAGGCCCATTATCCAGAGACAGAAAATTACGCTTTATTCTCAAATTTCAAAATAAAAAGATTAATTTATAGAAAGGTTGACTAGAAACCAAAATGGCTTTCTGTAGGCTGCAGAACTATAAAAGTTCAAATCTCTCGCGTTCTCAATCAATATTTAAATTCAGAAAGTTCGCGATTCAAAATATTTTTCCTTTCCATTTTGTGTGTTTTCGGATGCTTCTGGCATAGGACTTGGATCACGAGAGGTTTCTGAAAGTTAAGTATATAGAGGCTTGAAATTAGCATACCGCTGGGAAATGCATTAGAGCTATCGATGTTATCTACAGCTACGCCATTGAAAATATTTCGACATACAATTTATATGCAGTGCTCTACACTTCTACAGTATTTCAAGAGAGGCTACTTGTACGAGTACATGTTTAACAAAAGTCTGCAGGGACCCCAAAATGCCTCGCACGCAGAAAATCCTCAGCATGTCCCTCTTTTTTATTCAACTAACTCACACGCTCTCAGTCAATTAGGTAGTAAATTGATGTATGCCAAAAGCAGAAGGTCAATTTCAGTGTAAACAACCCTCAGTGGAGCTGCAAGGCCACCCACGAGGATCTGGATCCTCCGAACGGACCAATAAGATATGCGAAGAGCTCTAAAATATACCCTCGTAAAAATAGTTTACCGAGGCGCAGTCGAACGATATACGAGTACTGTACATCAAGGGTTCCAACCTTATTTATGAAATTGATCAATTTAACGTTGCGCGTGCTCCAGAACGATCTTTGGAAAACATATTAATTACAGCGGCTATTAAAGGACTCATTAAAATTCCCACGTGACGTACACATCGAAATGCATGTGTCTACCGACTGGGATTTTTGTTAACAGTCCTCCGACTTTCCAAGCTTTTGCTTGATTTTTTGTGCATCTGCAATTAAAATGTCTATCTGTTCTATCAACGTCATTTACTCAAACCAACACTAATCCTCGGAATTTTTGAATCTTCCCTCGGAAAATTTCGCGGACCACCACGTACTGTAATAGTAATGGCACTCGTATAATTGGTTGAAGAGTCCTGATACAGAAATTTGTTTTTGTGGTAAATAACTGTGCCTTTGCCCTAATCAGTGCTGCCCAACATATGGCCTGTGGGCCAGATCCAGGCAGCAGAGTTTCATCTTCTGTCCCGCAGATCCTTCTCCACAATTTTCAAGGTTGTAGCAGCCATTATTCAGAGCATATCGAAGCCTGAATTTAGAACTTCCTGAATCTTGCTCCACTCAGCAAAAAAATTTAAAAAACAATGTTTTTGTTTCAGTGTACAAAAAACTGAATAAAATTCGAAAATTTTCTTTTAAAAGGGGAAAATTCGGAGCCTCTAGGAAATACATGAGCGAAAGAAAATTCCCACGAATACTTGAATAAATTAGGATAAATTCCTTTGATTTTCAACTGAGAAAATTACAGAGGATGAGCAAATGATAAAAGGGACGCACAGTACAGTACACAGTCCTCGTATGCTGATAACAAACCTCGACAGGTATATACGAAGCATCAATTCAACATTCTCTCTTCTGCTTGTTTTATTTTTCAAATCATTTTCTGGTAACAAGCTTTTCCTTTATTCAGCTCCTCTTTTTACTATAAATTTCCACATTATATATTTTGCTCTGTTGGAAGAGGGTTATGTAATTATAGCATTACATTGTATTATTTTTGCATCTGTTGTATGAGAAATATTGAAAATTATTGCCTTCTGTGGCCCGCAATGACTCTACACCTCTGGAAGGTGACCCTTGGCCACATTTGAATGGGACAACACTGCCCTATATGAACAGAGAGCAAGTTTCCCGCGTTGCAGCAGTATTTCGAACTCAGTACGCGAGCCTTTTGACAATAAGAGAGACTCACCTGATGGAACTGGCCTTCCGCGCGGTGGTGGTGGTGGTGGTGGCGGCGGCGGCGGCGGCGACAGAAGCAGCGGCGGACATGATGGGTTCACGACAAGCGGCACTCGGCTTCACCGGGCCAGGGATCGCGGACGACTTGATCCGCGGGATCTTGGACGCGCTGATTTTGATGAGCGGCGTGACCCGGCCGCGGCACACTGCGCTGTTGACGGAGACCTGGAACTCGAGTCCACCGCGCGTGGTCGTCACGTCTATGCGGTGCTTGCCCGGCGGCGGGCGGCTGGAACCCGGACCCGGTCGAGGCTGGCGCCCGGGCTTCGAAGGGTCCGCGCTGCGCCCACCGACGGCGTTGCTGCTCGTTCGCATCCCCGACATTGTCTTGCTGCTCGGGATAAACACAACAGGCAAAAACGTATACGGATGAGACTCTGAGATGCGGACTTGGTGCTTGCCTGATGTCCGAATGTCCGCATATCGGATCACGTTTTCCGATAGACTTTACTGGGGACTTATTTAATTGGTTCCATAATTCATCAAAAATTAGGAATCATTCCCACACAAAATCGAATGAAATGCGCTTCACAGCTTAAATATGCAGAATATAACTGTGCTAAAGAAAATCACAAATAATCATGTCTTTTGGCATCAGAAGGACCGAAAAGGCAAAGAAAAAGTACTAATCTTGCTATACGGTACACAGATGAGAGAATACTCAAAATAAGAAGCACAAAATAAATTAAACCTTTTTTGAACATACATTTTAGTTAATTCCCAATAAAATTCAACCAGCGCATTATGAGTTGCACTTGCTCAGCTCATTCTTTCCACGGTTGCACCCAGAAAAACTTGCAAAAATTGTGTTGCGAACTAAGCCATTTTTATTACGGCATTAATTTTTAATCACACTTCACGTGAGAATTGCTTTGAATAAAAGCAACTTCGTCTCGCATAACTAAGAATTTAAAAACTGCTTAAATTAAAATTTTTCCTGATCTTTAAAAAATTACTTCGGTGTCTCGAACACAACAATCATGAAAATACATTTATCGCACGCATGATCGTCCGACAAGTTATAAACACAACACACAAGTTATAAAGGTTTAGAAAGAGCTTTGCTACGTCAGCTGAACGACTTGAGATATTGTTGGTACTTGGGAAATTTTTCCGAAAATCAGGCAGATAACCATTCATTCCTCATAAATACTGTATACGCAAGCAAAGCATATTACATTTAATCAAGGAAGAAAATGGAAGCTTAAATCACCTCGAATAACTTCCAAGGAAAACTTTGCATACAAATTAAGGTTGTTATTTTTCGCAGCTCTTCTGTGAAAAGGCAGAAATTAAAAACTTTGGTAGAATACATAGAGTTGAGTTCAAATCATCAAGCGCGAAGACTGAGACAGCGTAAACACTTCCCGAAAGTTGATGCGGTAAATCGAAATTGGTTAGATTAGGCACTTCGCGTTTAGTATAATAATACTGTATCTTGATGGTAGCATGACTCACTTGAAAGCCGATTCAAACCGCCAAGCAGCAGGGGGATAATTGCAGCCTTCCCCGCCGGCGATAACTAAACGGGTAATTAGCGCACGCAGCCGCCGCCGCCGTCAAGGCTCGGCCGGCTCGACACTCAACTCTTCATTCAGATCGCGAGATATCATTCCACTTCACATTGAACGAGCACCTGTCGTTGCCAAGGAATATCGATCTTATGCTTCGTTGAATCTCGATTTGAATGACGAAGCGTCCCCCGCCAACAATGAATACGAACGTGGAAACCAGCGGAAATTTGAACACTCATCGCCAACAGCACATTTCTTGTGAGCTGAAGGGAAACGTTCGACGAATCCCCTTTGACTACCTACAGTTTTCGTCGGTCAGCGACTGAATTATTCCTTATCTCCTGTTTTCCTTCAAAGCAAACGAATCTGTGCCGATATTGTTGACTGATGCCAGGTTTTCTTTGATCTTGACAGCGACGCGCTCATGCATACAGATGATCCACTCAACTTACACAACGGGGCCCGACTTATTGATCTGATTTTGTGAATTCTCAATAATCGAAAATCACGATCAAAAGAATTTATTCTGGAAATACTGAGAGGATCTGACGAAATGAATAATTAGCAATGTAAATTTTCAACAATGCGATAATGAGTATAAATTTATACATTTCTACATTTTGCAGACGTCCCCACGAAATTTTCTCAATTTGAATTTATCTGCATCTCTACGGTTTTACGTCCGTGCAGAGCATTTAAAGATCAAGAACCGCAATAATGCTGGAATATTTTCTTTTTTTTTTTTTTTTTTTTTTGCTCTAAAAAGTCTGGCAATTTTTCTGCAAAGATAAATAATCCAACATTGTTTCTGCGCAAGCAAAATCGCCAGACGTTCGTTCTGGTAGCGTGTCAATTTTTGATGAGTCAAATCTATTTTAGCGACAACGATATTTGAAGCATATATATTAGAGATTCTCGTGTATTTCCCTAAAATTAAAGTAGAAAGCGATACATATATCCCCGACAACAATTACCTTCAGGAATCTTCACCATTTCCTGATGAAACTTCGAGCCGGGAAGACCTAGATTTTTGCCACTCACTCTGATTTATTTTTCTGCTTTCAAAAATAGAAAATGCACCTTTCGTCCCGATGATCGTCGAGTATCTGAAGACTTCGTACAGGGAAACAAGCTTTTTCTAGCACAATGCATAGCAATTCGTTACCGCGAACGCTCACGCAGCGTTCGCTAGGCAATTAATGCTGGCCAACTCCTCTGTCAAGGCTCGGCGACTTCGACACGTGCGATCTCATTTAGACAAACTGGTACCTTTTTCCCGCCCGTCAATGTCACTCCTTTTCCGAGGAAAAATTTGAATAGATATACAGGATGCTGGAAAGATGCGATAAATATCGCCACTTCCTCGAAGTATGTAATTACGCGCATTCATTGTCCTGCAGTTTCACCAGGAAAGCCCTTGAAATCGCATTCCATCGACCCTTAATCTCATAGGCACTTTGAAAGGATGCTCAGCATTCCCGGAGTAAAAATTATCATATGAACCAGGGTTTCGAACCTGTGACGAAAACGCTTTTTGACGGGTTTAGGCGGAATTTCTAGACTGTAGCTTGGAATGGGAACCAGATGTACATATACTAAAATAAGTGAATTCACAAAAGCATTGGAAAAATTTACTTGAAAATAAAAAGGAAAATATTGACGGTAAAATAGGTAAATTGACTGGAGTTATGGACACGCAAAATCCAGTTTCTATTAAATTCAAAGATACATTAAAGTACAGTAAAGTTGTGTGGGAATCCTGCATAAGGTTTGAAGTGATAAAAACTGTATTTGCTCTGAATTGAGTAGCCGCAGTAGTATTTGGTACTCAGGAGGTTGTATAAAAACACTGCCATGTTGTGAAATGAATACAATCCATAAAAAATGAGAAGCCGTGGTCTCAACCGAACAGATTTGATCTGGACATGTCGTATAATGTGGTGGAATTATCGGATCTCCAGGTGACAGCACGAAGCACATTGCACATGGAAGCCTTTATTACATTCAATTTTTCGATACATATCGACTTAATGAAAGCTAAATTGCGTTAACGCAATCTTTTTCGCGGCTCAGTGAGCGTGAAATTGTCCCCGAACACAGCATAAGCCCTTGACAAAAATTCGGAAGAGCACCGCGGGAATTGTTTCATTCATTTTTTGTTAGTATCTGAAGAAATCCCAGCGAGATTTTTTTTATGGTACGACGGGACCAGAACGAGATTATTTTCAAATTGCGTCAGTTTCTACGCCTCTGTAACGCGCAAATACGACTATTGGGGATTCTGCGATGCAGCGATTTCATCGATAAATAGTTGAGCATAGGCAATCCTAATCCTTTCGACAGCGTGAAATGACATTTCCCAAGAAAAATGAATTTGTGCTTTCTGAGAATGAATCAACGAGCATGTGAAGTTCCTTGCGGTATAGAAACTTTCCGGGCACAAGAATGCGCGTTCCGCATTTCACGCGCATTTGTTCACTGGTCGGCCAGCGTCAAGCATTCGTGCTTGGCTGGTCTCCACTTACTAGGCTCTTGAACTCATTTTAATAACAAAAGTTAAATTCCATTTAGTGTTTCTTAAACGTGTGGTATTTGACTTAGAGTACTTATTTAGACGTAATGAGCAGTGCTTTGCATTTGCATGACAGGCTTTCGATTTTTTGGACTCTCTTCCATTCAAATTGACGAACTATGAATACAACTCATCAAACACAAAAAGAACTGAAAAGAATATCAGAAAAAGTATATTACCGGCTTTGATAAATTGAGACGATAAGAAATGTCCGCGAATACTTTCGAAGTTGAAAATTCAATCAGGACAGACAATGCTAAATTGCATTAATACTTCACTGTATTTTGCAACAGAATATACAGCTTACCACGATCATTCATTAAAATGAACCTTCTCAAGGAGTACTTGATGAAAAGCTGGGCATTTTAGACTATCGGATAATCCCGAAGGGTTGTATCCTGTTCATTACCTGTCTTTTAATTTTATTCATTCAGTCGATTGCATTACCCATCGGATACATGATCGATTCAAGTGTTGATCTCAGTGTAACTGATCTCAGTGAGAGTTCTTCACAAAACCAAGTGCCCAAAAAATCAACTCGAACCTTCTACGAGCACATATGTTCCAGATTCATCAACAATTCGCAAATGACACTGCTGTTCAGTAGTGTCAATTTCAATTCTGAAAAATAAATGCGACGAAATTATATTTTTGGGCTTAGAATCCGAAATAAAGACAGTTTAGAAAATGATTCGAACCATTCGAGAAATTCTCAAAATGAGTAAGAAGAATACTGATTAAAAAAATTTCAAACAAACGGAGACATTTTTCGATGACTTCGCACAAAAATCACACACCGTTCCACTCGAATAAAAGATCTGCCATATTATGGAATACTGGTTAACTCTCCAGGAGAATATTTTCTGTAAAACCATTTTTTGGTCACACAGGATTTCACCTCCCATGTTATGAGGATTCTCTATGGACTCTACCAGAAATTCTCTGCACGATTTTTCTGGTCCTTTGAATTTCGTTGTGCTATCTCAGGTGTCCCTATTAGGTCCTCTTGTGCGAGTTTTAATACGTCTGTGGCAGGTTCTTGTCGAATTACGAAGTCGCACAGTTTTCGTCCACGTTAGCGGAGTCGTCCTCTAAACTCCTTCTGGTCCTTGTCAGTGGACTTCTCCCTCCAATGACTTCTTCGGCGGAACAAATAGGAAGACGTTGCGGAGTTTAGTGCTCTTAAACAAGCAGCCTCGTATAATGAATACCATTTTCGCAAGAGTTTCAAACCGATT